CTGGCCTTTTGAAGCACATTCTTGTCTTTTATCGACACCAGGCTGTTCACGTCACTTCGACACACAAATCACACTACCAAAGTAGCAACAGACCCAGAAAGGCTTAATAAAACGCTGTAAACCTGAGTACGTCGACACTTAAAAAGAAACGCCACCAAAATGCTCCGAAACAGTTGCAATTAAGCTACTGTAGACGCCAGAGGAGCGGCACAATTGGGCAGACAGACGCCTCAGCTGGTGGCACTCCTCCGGGAGCCCGTGCCCCACACCAGGACGGGGAAGGGCGGGCAGCGGGGGCAACCTCCCGGGGTCTGAGTGGCTTTCTGCACCCCCAGCCCTCTGTGGCAGGCCCTGCTGGGGTCTGGGACATGGGTCACCAAGGACCCTGCCCTCAGAGGGCCCAAGGTCTGGTGGAGAGAAACTGACGGCCAACAGCAGACCACGACCAACTACGCGGTCACCTGGTCCACACTGCCCTGAAGGACGGGCTTGCGGTGCCGTGAGCTTATGTGGGGCCCCAAACCAGTCCCGGGGAGAGAGCAGGAGGGTCCTGCGTGCTGACCAGGCTGAGCTGGCTGTCGGGACAGCAGGGAGCGTGGGAGGGTGAAGGAGCAGAGAGCGCCCCCTGCAGCTTGACCCTACACAGGGGCACCTCGGGAAGCCCCCCTTCCCCTGTACCAGCCTCAGTCAGCGTGGGGGTCCCACCCCTGCAATCCCACCCCTTCAGAACCAGAAACCAGGAACAAGATAACGGTGTCTTCTAGAGCTTTCCAGCCCTTAAGAAACCGCCACCCTCTCAACGCTGGCCCTGCCCGCTATTTCCGACATCGGGTGGTGGGAAGCGTCCAACTGGGGGTGGCGGCTGGACACGCTGCAACATGCCGGGTCACCAGGACCACCTGGAGCAAACAGCAGGCGCACTGAGCGCAGAGGCCGCATCCTGGAAAAAAACAAGCTGGAGACGGTCCCCGCCTCTGACAGCCCGCAGCCACCCACTCTCGGGCGCCCTCCACACCCCACAACACAGCTCCAGACGCGGCCCCGCCAGCCCCCCTTCCAGACTCGCACCGCGCTCCGCGTGGCGGCAGAGGGACTCTGAAGGCACGAACTGGGTCCCGTTGTCCTGGCGCCACCTCCCGGGGAGGACAGCTTCACCGCTCGGCAGGGCCTCAAGCTCGACCTGCACGCAGCCAACACACGTCGGGCTCATTCCATTCTTGCTTTTTCTTATGTGTGTGTGTGTGTTTTTTTTTTTTTTTTTTTAAGGTGGGTTTTTCTTCCCTTAAGACCCCCGACCAGGACAAGGGCGTCCGGCACGGGCTGAGCGGAGCGGAGCAATCCCGCCACCAGCGCGGTCTCTGCGCCTGCTGTGCCCGCCCCACGTGCAGAGCCCTCTGCGAAAGGGCGGGGGCGCCACCTAGCGGCCCGCGGGGCACAGCTGCGCAGAGCCGCTGGCTCCACAGCCGGTCGCACGTACGCATGGTGACACACACGCGCCTGCACTCACATACGCATACACATGCCCACTCCCACACACGAGAGCACGTGGCCACCGTCGGCGGGTCTGCACGGGAGCCTGCTGCTGTCTGCGCACCTGCACTGCAGCTGCCACCTGCCCCGCGGGGAGCTGCCTCTGCTGGGAGGCCACAGACTAAGCCGGCACTGCCCAGGGGAGGGGGCAGAGCCACCTCTTCCCACATAAGGGAGATTAGGGGGCCACAGGGCTGCAGCCACCACGCCCTGCCCTCCATCCACAGGTGCCCAGCCCACCTTGCCATCAAGAGGGGAGGGGAAGCAGGCTTGTGCAGGAGGTGTGGGTGGCACAGGCTGGGTGGCCAGAAGCGTTGGAGGAGTGGCTGCATGGTCACCCACTGGGGACCCAGCAGGGCCCTTGCTGCACACCACGTGGTGCTGCCTCATCAGATAATGCCTCTGCCGGCTCAGACTGCTCATGAAACACAGTCACCAGGCCCCATCAGTATCCAGATTTTTTCTTAAAAGCAAACACCTTCCAACCTAGAAGTTACCCTGATCAAGGGCTGATGCAAAGCTGCAGACCACCACCAAAAGGAGACAAGTGGATCAAAAACAAGACCCCCAGAACTGCGATATGATCCCAACAAATACACAAAGCCTCACAACTGAAAGACCAGAAAGCCTGTGGCCAGTAGAATGTCAGCCCCAAAGAGGGCCATGTTCTAATCTTGCATCCTATGACTGTGTCGCTTCACATGGCAGAGGTACTCTGCAAATGGATGAAGTTAAGGATCTTGAGATGGGAGATGATCTTGGATTATCCGGGGACTCAGTGTCCTCACGGGTCCTCACAAGAGGGAGGCAGGAAGGTCAGAGACTGGAAGACACTGCGCTGCTGGCTTTGCACACAGAGGAAGGGGCCACATGCTGAGGGCTGCAGGCACCTCTAGAAGCTGGGAAAGGAGGACACGGATCCTCCCCTGGAACCTCCAGGAGGGACCAGCCCTGCCCACTTCTTGAGCTTAGCCCAACAGACTGACTTGACTTCTCACCTCCAGAACTGTAAGAATAAATTCGTGCAGTTTTCAGCCACTAGGCTAATGATTTGTTACAGCAGCCACAGTGAACCCATAAAAGCCCCTGCCATGACCCCAAAGCCCCCCTCTCCTCCCTGCCTGAGAGGCACCCACTGCAGGATAGCAGGGGAGGTAAGGAGACAGTGGTCACACAACAGGCAGTGGGAGCAGGGAGGCCCAGGCCTCTTCTCGCCTCCCTCCGGCAAGGGCTCCATGACGTCCTACCCCAGCATCTGGAAGGGGCTGACCTGTCAGCCTCAGCTAGCCCTCCAAATGTGAACTAACCTGCCTGCATGCAAGCCAGGAAAAACGAAGCTTCTAGTTCACCTTTATCCTTCTCAACCTTCAAGCCAGAATCTCAAGGTTGAAGGATGCCTTGAAAGTTCTAGATATTCCAGCAAGCAGCTCAGACAGCTGACCTGCAGGCCAGCTCCATTCTGTAAAGACAGGCACCAGGACACCGTAGGGGGTTCACGGTGGGTGGGATGGAGATTGCTGAGAGGGACCTGGAGCTCCTGTTTTTGTTACCCAAGGAGCTGGGTGTCCCTGTCCCTGGGGCACCAGGCATGACTCTGTACCCACAGCACCCGGACCCGCCTGCTGCCTCACCCCACACCACCTCCAGGCTGGGCATGGGGAGGGGAAACCCTGGCTGCGGGCATGGGGCCCTGGGCTCTGCAGCTGCTCCCTCGGGTCATCCCAAGGGCACAACTGGAAGGGAGGTGGGAGGAGCCCCAAGTCCTAAACATTTTTGTTGTTTGAGTCTAAAGAAAGAAGACAATGAGGTAGAGAGTGGGAAACAGAACACTTGGTCCCTATGAGGGGTATTCCAAGCTGCTCTTTCTAGAACATCTGAGGAAAAGGTCACATGGACAGCCTGACAGCTTCCAAGTTTAGAAGAACCGTGTATTCCTGCAAAACACAGGTAGGCCAGGGGCCAGAGACTCTGGGGTGACCCAAAAGAGGAGGAACTGGACAATTTAGAATGGAAGGGCCACTCTTTGTAAACGTGGAATGCCACCCAATAGTCACTGAGGATGTGGCTGGGGTTGGAGAGACTCCAGGAGGCTGCGGACCCCTGTTTGGGGGGAGGGCCGAACCGCAGAGACCCCAACACCAAACTGGCTGCTTCTCAGCCTTCCTCACTTGAGACCCCTAACGTCAAAGTGCTGAGATGTTTCCCTGAAGTCCAGAGGGGCGAAGAAGAGCCCAGGCCCCTGGAACAGACACTTCATATCTCTGCAGATTCTGCATGGCCCCACCAAGGCAGCGGAGAGGAGAGCGCCCTGAGCACACAGCCTGGGGAGACCGGGAGCCTCGAGGGGGTAGATGCCCTGGGGAGCAACTGTGGACCTTGGTCTCAAATCCCACGCCCACTCCAACTTCGGGATGCTTGCAGGGGGTGGGACACGGGGTAAGCCTCCCTCCTTCCATGAGTCCACCCCAGCTGCTGTGAGCATCAAGGCAGTGGGTGAGGCACTGCGCAAGCCCACGGCATCCTTTCTTCACCTGGAATGTACACCACTGGACACCTCCCCCCATGCCTGGGGGCAAAGGCTCAGCTACTGGGGAGTCAGCTCTCAGCTGGGGACACTACCCCACACCAAGATAAGGGGTGGGTCTGCCCGGACCCCAGGCTGCGCTTCAGCACTGCACCCCCACTGCTGTACATGCAAGGAGAGCTGCGCTCTGGAGAAGTCTCCTTCCCCGCCACCGCCCTGAGCTGTGATGATGACTGTGCCACAGAACCTTCTAAGACAGCTGGGGAGAGGCAAGGAAATGCAAAGCCCCAGCTCAGAAACCACTGCTAGAAACCAAGAAGAACAATGGTCCCCCCACACAGAAGGCAGCTCCCGGCCATCCTGCCAGGAGGGGCCAGACGGAAGGGGGCACTTCAAACAGCACCGCTCTCTCTGCCCAAGAGTTGGAAGAAGGGACCGAGCGACACTGCCTGCAGGGCCCATCACCCTAGAGGAGGGGCACAGCCACCTCAGCCCAGCACCTGCAAACCAGTGGGTGCACCTTCTAGGCCTAGGGTGGCAGTAGGGGGGATGCTACTCAGCACACCCTGGAATCTGGAGGCCAAGAGCAAGGCGAGGGGAAGCTCAGGGCTCTCTGTACACCAGAGGGCCCCACCACAACAGGTGCCGCCTGGCAAGGACCATGGGCAGATGCTGCTGCATGGGACTACAGGGAGGCCTGGCACCAGTCCCGGTTCAATGGGAGGAACCTGGGTACAAACCAGAAGCTCCAGGGCTCTGGAAGCTTCGGTCCTGGGGAAGCACGTCTCCCCATCCCCAAACCTGTCAGGTCAAGCAGGGCTGCCCCTAAGGCTCTCAGGCTGTCAGAGCCCCCAGACTTTGCCCACCTCACCCAGCCGTAGCCCTGGAGCAGCCGTCTGATGTCCCCTCCCACGCAGCCAGGCTGGGCTGCTGGCCAGACACTCACCACGACTTGGGCTCCCCAAAGTGCAGGTAGTTGATGCTGTACAGGTCCATGTCCTCCGTGTGCCAGGCAAAGGTGGTCTTCCACATGCCGAAGTACAAGTAGGGGGTGTTGACGCCCTCAATGATGGTGCCGCACTCCCGCTCCACCATGTCCAGGATGGTCCTGAGGTTGCCAATGTTCCACTGCGCCACGTCCTGTGGGGGCAGCAGAGCAGGCAATCAGGTGGCTGGTTGGCCAGGGCACCCACGGGAGGAACAGAAGGGCCCAGTCTCATCCCTTTGAGTCCTGGGGTGCAACCTAATCCTCCGCAGAAGCCCAGGGAGTCCATGACCTGTCAGTCACCCAAACTCCCACCGACATCAGACCCCCACCCGCCCCTAGTGTCTGAGGCCCACCAGGGGCTGCTCACACCCAGCTTGGCCTCACAGGAATATGAGGGGCCAGGCAGGCGGGCAGAACTCTGCCTGGATTCCACATGGAACTGTGTGCTAACCATGTGGGGGGGCTTGCCGAAGTCTGCAGTTTGGCTGTGAATAATTGAAGTGCCTCTAAGTAAATGATGTGAAGGAGGAAAACAATCTCTGAGTAGGGATAACCAGAAACAGTGTCTCAGCCAAGGCTCAATGACAGCCCTTCCGGCACCTTCCGGCAGAGCAGACGGAGACAGTTCTCACAATCAGGCAAACGAGGACAGAGTCCCCACCCACCAGACGCCTCTGTTCTTAATGCCACAAGCAAATAAACCTCATCTTGTCATAAGAGCTCATGAAGTACATGTTAATCAACTTCTCAGTCCCTGGAGAAGCCTCAAATCCTGTTCAGATGCTGAACACAAGCCCAAACATGCCCGTGAACTTGAGCATTCCTTCACATGCCAAATCCAGCCTGTGTCAGCCACTCCTGCTCCAGCATTACAGGCCCTAGGACTCAGCAGGACCAGAGGTTACCCTTTGTAAGGCGAGCCCTGGCAGGAGCCCAAAACAGATAGGGGTGGGGAACAATTAGACCCCTCATTACAAAGATAAAAAGCCCCAGGTTGGGGCAGGGGCACCAGAAACGGGTCACCTCTCCACCTAACGCTGGGTCAGATCTGCCTTGCTGTCCACATGACACAGTCACCATGTGGCAGACCATGACATAAGCTAGAAGTGGGGGACCCTGGGGTCTAGTCTGAGCCAGGCACTAATTCCTCCTGTTGCCAGGGCAGGTTGTTTCTCTGCTCTGGGCCTAGGTTTTCCCATCTGTGGAAGGAGAGTGCTGCACTAGGTCAGACATGGCAAACATATGGCACCCAAGCCCCAAATCTTCCTCTGGAACCTGTGGCAGGCACAGCTCACTGATCCCAGCAATGGCCGTCAGAGCTGGTGCATGTCCTGAGGCTATCACTACGGACTGACTGGAGCCTACACGTGGGAAGAAACCCAGAGGTTCTCACCAGACCAGTCTCTAATTTTTAAATTTTTATTTCAACAGAATAAGGCAGGATCCTTAAGAGAATGAGAAGATAAGCCACGAACTAAAAGAATATATTTGCAAAAGACACATCTGGTAAGGAACTGTTCTCCCAAGTACACAAAGAACTCTCAAAATTCAATAATACGAAAGCAAACAACCTGAGTAAATAATGGGCAAGGGACCTGAACAGACGCCTCACCAGAGAAAACATACAGATAGCAAACGAGCATATGAAAAGATGCTCAACACCCTCTGTCATCAGGGAAGTGCAAATTAGAACAGTGAGATACCATAACACACCTATCAGAATGGCCAAAATCCAGAACACCGACACCACCACACGCCGGCGAGGATGTGGGGCAACAGGAACTCTCGCTCACTGCTGGTGGGAACACGAACTGTACAGACCCATTAGAGGAGAGTTGGGTGGTTTCTTACAAAACTAACTATTCTTGTATATGATCCAGCGATTGCACTCCTTGGTATTTACCCAAAGGAGCTGAAAACATGTCCACACAGAAACCTGCACGTGGATGTTTCTAGCAGCTTTATTCATAATGGCCCAACTTGGAAGAGACCAGGATGTCCTCCAGTGGGTGACTGGATAAACACACCGTGGCACATCCAGACAATGGAAGGTTATTCCACGCCAGAAAGAGGTAAGCTCTCAAGCCAGGAAAGGACATGGAGGAAACTTGAATGCATGTCACTAAGTGAAAGAAGCCAGTCTAAAAAGGCTGCATACTGTACGATTCCATCATGACATTCTGGAAAAGGCAAAACTATTGAGATAGTACAAGCATCAGTGGTTGCCAGGGGCTTGGAGGAGGGAAGGAGGGATAAACAGGTGGAGCACGGAGGATGTTTAGGGCAGTGACACTGCTCAGTATGACATGGTAATGGTGGACGTGTGTCATTATACATCTGTCAGAACCCACAGAATATATACCCAGAGTGAACTCTAATGTAGACTGGACCCTGGGTGGTGGTGATGTGTCAGTGGAGGGTCACTGATTGCAGTGAATGCCCACTCTGTGGGGGCCACTGTGCATGTGTGTGGAGCAGGGGACACGTGTACTTTCTGCTCAATTTTGCTGTCAACCTGTTCTAAAAAAAATAATGTCTGTTTTTAAAAATACACAAAAAATAAGTAATAATGTAGGATCCCATCTAGAGCAAAGACCATTCGGTGGGAGAAAGAGCAGTCTTTTCAACAAATGGTGTGGGGACGATTGGAAGTACACATGCGGAAGCGTCACTGTGGACCCCTTCCTCATACTGCACACAAAAACTAACTCAAAACGGATCGCAGACCTAGAGCTAAAACCATAAAACTCATAGAAGAAAACACAGGAGTAAATCTCATAACTTTGGAATTGGAAATGGATTCTTAAATATGACACCAAAAGCACAAGCAATAAAAGAAAAAAATAGAGATATTGGACACTATCAAATTAAAAAGTTTTGGGCTTTAAAAGACACCATCAGATAAATAAATAAATAAATAAATAAATAAATAAATAAATAAATAAATAAATAAAGATAAAGGACACCATCAAGAAAGTGAAAAGACAACCCAATGAAGGGAGAATGGGAGAAAATATTTGTAAACCATATTTCAGATAAGGGACTTGCATCCTGAATGTATGAAAAAGTCTTAACTGATCATTAATAAAAAGACAAATAACCTAATTTAAATATGGTCAAAGGATCTAAAGAGACATTTCTCCAAAGAAGAAATACAAACGGCCAACAAGCACATGAAAAGATGCTCAGCACCATTAGCCACCAGGGAAATGCAAATCACGAGACACCACTTCACACCCATGAAGATGCTGGAACTGAAAAGACGTAACAACAAGCACTGGCGAGGACACGGAGAAACTGGAACCTCACACACCACTGATGGGAACATACATCAGCACAGCAGCGTGGGGAAAACTTCAGTCTGGCAGCTCCTCTGAAAGTTAAACAGTTACCACAGGAAGCAGACTGGAGGCTTCCCATGCTGCCCTTGCCCTGCCCAGGCAGCATCACAGGCCGGGCTACAGAGGCCTCAGGAAATCGTTCCTGTCTTGTTCCCAGAAATCAGATGGGGCTCCAAGGTTTCTAGAAAGCTAGCAGCTTCCTGTCAGAGTCACCCGGGAAGACCTCCTTGTGGGTTATGGGTAGAGGCCTGGCTTCAGAGAGCACACTGGGGCTCGTGGGCACAAGGATGCCAGAGCTGCAGTTGTGGGGGGCCTGGAACTGGATGGAGTTGGGAGGCCCAGCCCCGCTCCTGGACTGCTGGGAGGGCCGCTCTGGGCCCCAGCTGCCTGATAGGAAGACCTCCTTGTGGGTTATGGGTAGAGCCCTGGCTTCAGAGAGCACACTGGGGCTCGTGGGCACAAGGATGCCAGAGCTGCAGTTGTGGGGGGCCTGGAACTGGATGGAGCTGGGAGGCCCAGCCCCGCTCCTGGACTGCTGGGAGGGCCGCTCTGGGCCCCAGCTGCCTGATGTGGGAAATGGGGGGCTTGGGAGGCTGGGCCCCTCTGACTGGGCTGGGAGGCCATCAAGCAAGCAGAGAAGGTGAAGGGTAGCAAGGGCAACCGCCCAGGTGGCAGGCCCCATTGTTTCTCAGGAAGCTCTGGGAGAACATAGACTCCAGCCCCCAATCAACCTGCCGCTAGAACTTCTGCTGCTGGTTCACGGGTGAGCTAGATCGTGGTGCCGAATAGACACTTCTTCACCCAAAGGCCCCTGATGAAAACCAGGGAGACCTGCTCATGCCCTGCAAGAGGTGCAAGGCACGGGATGGGCAAGCCCCTGATGGAGCTGGGTGTGCACTGGGGCAGGAGGAACCAAGATGGCCCGACGGTTTCAATGACTGAATTTTCTCTATGCCACTGTCCTCTGCTCTGTGGTCCCCCCTCTCCAAACATGTACAGTAGCTCTCGAGTTAAGCATCTATGTGTCCAGGCTGCAGCATGTGCAGACAGGGGACCTGTCCGCACAGCGCCCAAGGGTGTGCAGCTCTGGTCTCAGCAGTTAGAAACTCACCAGGAAGAGGCCTGGCCATGAAGCCTCTGTGACTTTGCCATCCACTGAGGGGTCAGGGGCAAGTGGATAGTTCAGGGTCCCAAGGATGCTATCACCGGAAGGCTGCTACACACCCCCTGTGCCCCATTCTATGGAGGGGGAAACTGAAGCCCAAGAAGGCGGCAGCAGGGCCAGGAGTAACTCCACTCTCCAGATTCCCAAATGGAGGGCATCTCCCTTGGGTTCTCCGGGGTGAGCTCCCCTCAAGCCTGAACCACATCTTTCACATGACAAACTACTAGTCTGAGGAGCACACCACCCACAGCACAGACAGTGACCTCTAGTCACAAGGCTGCTTGGGCTTGGCAAGGCAGGGGCAGCACACAATGTTGGCTGAGGACTCGCAGTGGCCACATCTTCCTAACACTTTTTGGGAAAAACCGGCCACTTGGGCTTCTCTTCTGGGCCTCCAGCAGGGTCCCCACCCTTCTCAGCAGGGGTCTGTACTCCCACCCACTCAGCCCCAGCCAAGACCAGGACTCGGGCAGTGCCCACCTGGTCTCACAGACGAGGGAGCTCCCCAGGTGATGACCTTCTGAATGAAGACATGGCGGGGTGGAGTGGGCCCTGCTTTAGCCCAAGGTCCCCATACAGAGCACACCCAAGAGGATTAGGCTTAGTACCTCTGCAGCAAACCACAGCAGATCCATGCCATGGTGGACCCGGTTATCCACGAGCCCATAAATGTTAATAAGCCACCCCCTAAAACAATTCGGGTCCCACTCAAACCTCCGTCCACTCACAACAGCACCTCCTCAGGGCCTCAGAGTCATGGTTGGTCTGGACCCAGCATATGCCCTGCACCCTCAGACAGGCCAGGTCAGGGCCAGGCCCTGCGGCAAGAAGTCCAGGGCCCTTCCTCACCCTGTGTCCCCAAGGGCCTTCCAGCCCAAGACAGGGACTAGACTTGGGTTGAATCCTGCAGGAATCCTGGCCAGCTGAGAACTCGGAGCTACAGGTTTTCAGGAATATGGAGTGACGAGACTTGAAAGGAAAAGTCCTTGAATAACCAAGAATGAGGAGGCCCCTGGGAAAGCAGTGGAGCCCGGGATGTGATATCTAGCACTGTGTGTGGCAGGGCTGCTGTGGCCAGCTGCAGGTGCCCGCTGCTGGAGAAGGGTCGGCAGGGGTCTAGAGTTTGGTAGGAATGACCCTGCAAATCGGAAGAATCCAATGACTAGAGCCTGAATGAAAAGCACAGTAAGCTTTCTGCACGATTTCAACTTTTGTTTGTCAAGATAAAGTCCCATTCACAGCCCATCCCCTCCCCCATCTACCAGGAACCATGGTCCCTCCCTAGACCCTCTCATACCAGGATGCGGAGGGGCCTGGCTACTCACGTCGTCGTACAAAGAGCCACTGATGTCGGCCCCGTAGATGGGTGAGACGAAGGTGAGGTTCTTCCAGTACTTGCGTTCAAGGTCATCAAAGTCCTGGTGTCGTGGGGTGCAGTACCTAGTAAACAGACAGCCCCCAAAAGTGACTCAGAGAGGGGCCAGGCCCCGTGCTGCTCACCCTCAGCTGCCAAGGACTCCGAACACTTACGCTACACGGTGGGAGGGGATCTGCTCAGACCAGCCACTGTTACCACAATGTGACTGTGAAGTGGGGGCAGAGCATGTATCTCACAGGGCCAGAGTCCCCGCCCTCGCCCCGCCCTGGTTTCTCCCGTACTTCTCGCTGTTGGCCAGGCGGCGGTACTCGCCCACGGTCATGGCCTTCTTCTGGATGTTGTACTGTGTGAAGAGGCCCGACTGCCCTGTCACCACCTGCTGGATGGGGGCTGGGATGACCACGTCATCAATGTCATCATACGTCTGCCGTGGCTTCCACTCCTTCGGGGGGATGATCTGTAAGAACAAGAGGGGAGTTGGCAGTGCCCTCCAGATGGGCCTCAGGACAGGCACCAGGTGGGGGCAGAGCAGAAATGCACCACCCACTCACAAGAGACCTGCACAGCTCCCCAGGAAGGACTCCCACGCCCCCCAGATCTCTCTCAGAACCCCCCACGGGGCACTAGCAACCGTCTATGCTGCTTTATCAAATCCCCCACGAGACACTGGTGCCAGCCTGACGTGGGCCCCACCTGCTGGAGCAGAGCTGTGTCCTCCCCAGACTGCTCGAGGGCACGGGCAGGAGGGGGTCCCTCTGCTGCTGGGCCTGGGGCCTGCAAAGCTAACACCCCACTGCCACCCAGAGCACCAGGGACCAACCTCAGCACATCCCTGCAAGTGGCGTTTGTCTGGTGTCTGCGGACTCAGTATATGGCCTTTTGGAGCACTTTTTTCAACCTGAATCCCCAAACTTGGAGGTAGATGACACAGGCCACCGCACCCTCTGGCAGCAGGAACTAGCCCTTCACCCACCAGCCGTGCCCCCGGGGCATTGCTAAGACCACCGGGAGGCACTGCACACCCCGACATGGAACAGCTGAAGGGAGCACACTGGGTCCAGTGACAGCACCTGCCAGGTGCCAATCTTAGTTCACAGTGTGGGGAACATCAGGAAAGGATGTTTCCTGCCCTCGGGGGACTTCCGTTCTGACCAGAGAATGCAGGTGATGAGCAGCCATCAGAGGTGAGTGAGGAAACTCTGCCTCAAGGTAAGAAGGTAGGAGTACCGGAGGTCAAAGCTGAGGAAGACCTGGGTGAGAGGCCCAGAAGCCATGGGGTGGGGGACAATTCCAAGTAGGACATGGGAGGCACTGGATCTGGCCACCATGTGTCTTGGGGCAGACAAGAGCCCTTCCAGCTGGGCCCCAGGCCGGGCTTGCTGGGCCTAGCACTTCTGTTCCTGCAATGACCCTGTGCCTCAGGAGGTATGGCAGTGGTGCTCCTGACAGCTGGGGAAACTGAGGCACAGAGAGGCTCAACAACATGGCCAAAGGCACTCATTGGGAAGAGGGGACAGGACCTGGACCAGGACCTCTAGACTCATGGCCATGGTGTTACAGAGCCCAGGGAGGCTGAGACACACAGAGAGACAGCCTGAGGGGGACGATGGTTCTCACCCCTCAGAGATGGACCCAGGTGCCAGAACTTGCCCAGTGAGGGGGGCCTTCTCTCAACCCTATCCAAGAGGTGAGGGGACCAAGGCCAGGCAGGGAGCACGGAACCTCCCAGAGGGCTCCCAGCCTCCTCGCCCTCCCCGTTTTCTCTCCTCTGGTCAGGGTGAGGCTCTGGGATAACAAGACCAGACCCCAGCCAGCACTGCAGCCTTCTGGGTGCCAGGCACACTTCTGTGCGGGCCCACGGGCTGCTAAGAGGCTGGCCACGCCCAGTCCTGGGTGAGTGCTTGCGGGTCCCAAGCCTCCTTCCAGGATGCCAACCGAGCCACCCAATGGCTTTGGGAGAAGGAACTAAAAGCACCCGCTTTTGCTTCCCAGCCAAGAATCCTGGGGAGGCTGACCCTCACGTTCAGGGCCAGTGTAGGAAGAGTGCCGCGCTGACACCTGAGCCTGGTGACAGCTGCCAGAACAGCAGAATTCCATTTACTGTCCCCAAGGAGTTCGCTAGCATATCAGCAGAAGAAAATGTGCTTGGCAATGAAAACACTTATTCTCTAGTTGCCTGTTAACAAGAGAAAGGTGCCGCCTCCACGCTCGCATGCATGGGTTTATTTACCAAAAATAACGACAACAGCAGCAATAACTGAGGGGTCTCGGCTGAGGATGATCCTGCCCCTAAATGGGACACTGATTATCTCGAGGGAGTGCTCATGGCATGGAGTGGGGGGATCCAGGGATGCTGGTCAGCACCTGCAGTGCCCAGGACTCCCCACCAGACAATGACCTAGCCCCAGTGTCCACAGTACCGAGGGGGGAGACCCTAATTTAAATGGGGATGAACCACCTCCCAGAAGACATGACCATCCCATCAGAAGTTGGCTCTTTCTCGGGACTTCTCCTCTACCCCTTCTACCCCAGCCACAATGCAGTGGGCATCTGGGGCACCCAAGTCTGGCACAGGCTGGGTGACAACAGCATACTGGGATCCGCTGCTGGGCTACAGTTTTCTTAATTCAAGTGACTTCAAGTGAGAAAGCTGAAAAGTCAGGTGAGAAACTAAAGCATTCAAGACTGGAAGGGCAAAAAATAAAACTACAAGGCCCTGAGCCCCTGATGTGAGGTGTTCCTGCAGAGAAGTGAGCTGTGTGATGGCTGCGCCCATGGACCCGAGCGGCTCAGAGTCACGCAGGCGGTGCCTTCCCTGACAGAAACCCTGAATCTCCTCCTGCATCACAGTCCCACGATCCTGGATCAGTTGCAAGCGCTCATCAAAGGCACGCGCGGAGGGCAGCCGAGGAACTCGCCCCTTTGGGTTCTATTAGAGGAATTCGGCCACCATCCCGGCATGCAAAACAAACAAAAACACTTCACGCCCAAAGTTTCTGCTCTCAGCAGACAACCTTGGGCTGCTTCATTCACCTGTCCCCTCTACTGGGGGCACTGCTGTAGTAAGGACATCTGGAATCCAACAAGGACACTGCAAACACACCCACAAAGCCTCGTTTGCACGTGCGTGAGCCACACCTCACTTGATACGTGCCAGGCAGGAGCTGATCAGGCTGTGTGTACAAAGGTCATGCACAGCAGGGCTCAAACCTGAAATTTCTGGAAAAATCCCTCAGGATGGAAGCAATGTACTGTGGTCTAACACCCTCAAATTTCTGCAGAGAAGGGGACCCGAATGGAGATCCGCAGGCAGGTACTTAAGAAGTCCACCTGAAGAAGCTTAAAGGGTACGCTGACTGCCACACTGAGCGCTTTCCAGGCCTGTCACGGGCCCTGACCTGACCCTTATGCGGAGCTCCTGGAGGGCGAGCTACAGCCAAGGCCGGGAGCCATGGAGAGGCCACACATCCAAAGCCAACAAGGCAGACTCCAGGCAGGCGGGAAAGCGGGGAGAGCCAGGGCCTCTCCTGACACCGCCCACCTGGTGCAGGCCCCACCCTCAGGGAAGCAGCTGAGCATTGAAGAGGACACCAGATGCCCCCAGCCCCTCAGAACAGGAACCCATGACAAGGCCCTCCCTGCCTCCCTCCCACCCCAGTGCTTCCTAAGCGGCCCGGGGAGATGCAGCTGCAGAGCAGCCGGGGAACATGACTGAAGCCCCCCCACTCTGCACCCTGTGTCCCACAGTGGCCAAGGGGGGGGCCTGCCTGGGCCGCCCCATCCCAGCTCCCTCGAGCCCTGCAGATCTTTGAGGGAGGGTACGACCAAATTCAGCTTTGATAAAACGAGGAAAGTCCCTACCACTCCCACAGACAAACACACACAACAGTGGTCAAGGCTGATGATACCAGGAGAATGGGGGACACCCACATCCCCCCCGGCTCACTCAGAGCCAGCAGGACACCGTGTTCCTTCTCCAAAGAGGCTTGCTTCCCCGAGAGCCAAGGCCCCCCATGTGGAAGAAGCGGGGGTGCCCAGGGCCAGAGCAGATGCTTCCCTGAACCCATCTGTCCCCACAGAGTGGCAGGAGAATGGATGCATGCATGTGCCACACGTGTGTGTCAACGTGACTGCACGGTCGCCAAGATCTACGGCTGCCCGCGTATGTGTGAGAGCCGGCCTCCTCCTCACACTCCGCGTGCGCCCCTCTGCACACACACAACCACACGTCCCCCCAATCACACAGGACCCTGGGCCGGCCCCCCACTGCCCATCCACCTCAGTGGTTTCCCCCCACCCCACCGCATCCAAAAGCCTCTGCCAGCCAGAGAAAGCAGCCCCTGAGACGCCACGTGAGAAGAGCGAAAAGGACCACGCAAAGCAAAAGGTGGAGGCAAAACACTCTGAAAATGCTGCCGCACTGAAGCTTCTGGTCACACTGGCCCACTGGAATGAGAGACTTCCAGCAGCAACATCAGGGCTGGACAGAGACCACGGGGAGGGGTTAGTTGAATCTAAAGGTCTTCGGAAGAAGGGGCCAGTCAAAGATACTAATTTGCTACATTTTCCTGATAAGGGATGACTGGCAACATCAGGGCTGGACAGAGACCACGGGGAGGGGTTAGTGGAATCTAAAGGTCCTCGGAAGAAGGGGCCAGTCAAAGATACTAATTTGCTACATTTTCCTGATAAGGGATGACTGGGATTCAAAAACAGAAAGGGCCCAAGGCATCCTGGGAAAAATGAAAACAGGTCAAGGGCAGGAGATGATGCTGACCCGCCCCCCAGGCAAGGGGAAAGGGAGGGGCGGGGACCTGAGCCGGGTGGGAAGGAAAGTGTAACCTGGCAATTCACACCAGCCTAGGCCCCAGCCGGGTCCAGAGCCCTTCCTGAGACGATGAACTTCACGGAGGGAGGCATAGATGGCTGGAGAAGGCAGTTTAAAAGCAGGCGGGGAGCGCTGGAGCCATTTGGAGGGAGAACAGAAGCCAGACCAGCAGTGGCTCCAGGGCTGTGAACTGGATGCGAATGTTCTGTTGTTTCTATACTGTCACGTGTGGATGTAGAGCATCAGAAGTGGAGGGACAGAGGCCTTCCTGCCCTCCCAGATGTCACGGTTAAGGTGTGTGGACCCCAGGAGCGGGAGGCAGGGGAGGGGAGGGGATGGGACAGAGGAGGGCCCCAGGGCGCTATCCCACACTGCAGGGTCAGCAGGCTTTGGTCCAACCTTTGAGCTAAGAATGCTTTATCTAGGCTGGCCAGTTAGCTCAGTTGGTTAGAGTGTGGTGCTGATAACAGCAAAGTCACGGGTACGATCTCTGTACCTGCCAGCCACGAAAAAGAAAACTTTTTTTTCATTTTTAAATGGTTGGCAGGGTGGGATTCTTCAAAAGAAGAATATTTGGGACCATATGAAATACACATGTGGTGTCCACGGATAGTTTTATTGGCACACAGCCAGCCCATCCACTTCATTTTGTCTGTGGCAACTTCTACCCTTCAGCCACAACACAAAGCCGAAAACATTCACTATCTGGAACTTTGTAGAGATGGTTTGCCGACCCCAGTCTAAATGAGAGCAACTAGAGGAACCCGAAAGATGCAGATTATTAATCTTCCAAATTGCCCACATGAGCACAAAGAAACTCACAGAGCACAGCCTCCCAAGCCAGGGTGTGGGGACTGTGCAGAGGAGTCGCCGCTACCATCTGTATTTCAAAGCAATGTAGGGCACGCCTGTCTGAATTTTCTCACACATGCGCGCACACACACACACACACGTGCACACACATAACATGCTAGGAAAGAGACAAAAGGAGCCTGGAGTGGTGCTGTCTCCAGGGATGAGTGCCTGGGCCAGGACAGGACAGGAGACTCACTGGTCACCCTCTACCTACTGCACTGTT